ATTTTCCAGCAGGACAATGCTAGGCCGCACACGTCTTTGTCCACTCGGCAAAAATTGATGGATATTGGTTGGGAATTGATGTTACACCCACCACATAGTCCTGATCTCGCGCCATCGGATTACCACTTATTTCGATCCCTGGACAACTCCCTTCGTGGTAAAACTTTTAACGATGACGACGCTGTAAAATCTCACTTAACTCAGTTTTTGGCCGAAAAGGATCAGACTTTCTACGAGCGTGGAATTTTCAAGTTGTCAGAGAGACGGCGAAAGGTCATCGAACAAAATGGAAAATACATTACAGATCAAACTTCGTTCCAAGAAAAAAAATTTTGTATTTCATTGAACAAATCGGCCATTACTTAGTTGCCAACCCAATAGTTTCGAGATCGGTAACGAACGCCGCACTTTCGATAGCGATCGATCGAGATCGTAAGGCAACATACTATGCGATAGATCGTTCGGTAGTAGTTACTTTATTGACAAACACTGACTATGTATTGCCGATTGTGATAATCACCGTGTCGAATCTATCCTGTAGCTAAATAAGGAATTTCACCACATCCTGTTTCCCTGATCTAGCTTCGAGAACACTTTCCATTAAACATACGAATAAAATCGTTTAATTCAAGTTTTCGTGCACCCAATGCTCTACGCAGACACTGTTAATTGCCGACTAAATCGATCTATGAAAGAAGGATTTGGATGAAATTTTGTTGCATCGTAGAGTTACAATATCTGCGGTTACATCGAAGTTGCGGCAAATGATCGCGGATGGTATCAAAGTGCTCCCGCCGAGTACCATTACCGAAAGTTACGCGTTTACATAATGAAATTCGAATATACATTGTTTCGCTGACTGGGAAATAAATAGCTAAAATCGGTTTACAACAAAGTACGTACCGCAAACATTATATACTAGACAACTGAATTTGTATACTTCGACGCGAATATCGCGCGGTGTACGAAATGAAATTATTTTTTCTTGTGGTTGATGTAACCAGAGAGTTAACATTAGCATTGAAAAACAACTCAATTTGGAGTCGAGTCGATTTTTTTGTATTTCTCTCAAGTTACCGCGCGACTAAAAACAAGATACATATTTACAATTTTCACTGTTTCACGAATCTGCAAAGTTTCATCCAAATCGAAAATCGGGCCACCCGTCACCGTTTATCCCGAGTCAACGAAATATCACGCATCCACGTTCGTCCTGCGTCAACCTTTTACAAGCCACGATTTATAACGAGCGCATAAACAATATTTTCTAATTATAAATGATTCACAGAGTAAGAGAAGTATAAAGCGGCATACTTCGTGTCTCGCAGAGTACAATGCATACCGTGTTAAAAAAACACGGGGCTACGCCACTGTCACCAGGGTCCATCCACGAAGTTATTTTTATATAACATTATAACGCTTCGCCGGCACGGAGAGCGTGTACCAGTGAACCGTAAAGGGTTAAAACATGCGACTCTGGGAGGAAAACCGACGACGAGAACGAACGTGTATGGCGGCCCCGATATCCGTAACGTTCCGCCATCGCGAAACACTCGCGACAGAGGTTATGTTTGCGCTTACCTTGTCGGCCGACGATCTCCGCCACGTGCTCGCTGCTAGGCACCGGCACGCACTCGGTCATGTTCTGGCTCTTCTTCGAACGTGCCTCCTCGAAAACGCCAGCCGGTGTCGTTTGCAGAGGGTCCGGGTCGTTGGCTGTTCCGGTGCCGGTTCCTGTGCCGGTGCCCGGGCATCCGGTAGTACCCTCGAGACCGAGCATAGATAATTCCAATGCCAATTGCAAGGCCCGTTGGTCCTCGAGGGAAGCGGCAGCACCGCCATTGGCGCCGCGATCCATTTCGCTGAACAAACTGGTCGGCATTATGCTGTTCGATTCAAAGTTCTCGCGTATCTGTCGCACCGGCAATGTCAATGATAACGTGTGTGTGTATGACGTTCGTGTTCGCACAGGATATTCCTAACCACAGTATATATCTCGGGTAATTCACCGATCCTCGCACTGGATCTCTCCTCCGGTCCGTAGCTTAGCTGGATCTCTTTGCAATCCGTGCGTCGTCGATCGGTGTTACCTTCGGTCGCTTTTTCGTACGATCGAAGGGCGTTTATATCCACGATAATACAAAGTCTCTGCTTTCTCGAAACGATCGGCTACAACAATGTAAAACACACACGCGAGGGCGCGCGCTGGGCTGTACACCGCACACACACAGACACGATTATTTAAGGACGAAGGACTAGAGTGGCGTGGTTTGTCACGCGAGACCCGTGGCCGTTACCGTGGAGAAACGTGCAGCAGGGAAAAGAGAAAAACCAACGATGCACCGTACAAAAATAAAATCGTCGACTCGCCGGTGATCGTTTTTTATCTGTGTTGCTCCTTTTTTCGTCCGGGGTCCCTCCTACTCGGTGCGGCGCGGCGCACGATACTCAGCCGCACGGCGTGAGTGTTGCTCGCACACTGGAAACGTGTGGGCTACCCGCTCGTAATCTCGTGTCTCGTCCACGATCGCACGTCCTCTTCCCGTCGATCGTTCTCTCACACTCGCGCGCGCGCTTTCTTTCACCGCGTGGTAATGCCAGCCACGAAAATGGCCTTCTCGATATTCGCACTGGTCGTAGCAGTTCGTAAATGATATTCGTGTTTCGAGAACGCGCGACTAGCAACCGTCAAACTCGTCGTCTGCCGATACTCGTGTTTTCCTTTCCTCGCGTATTTCTGTAGATTAACTGGTATATATATATACATATATTTATATGCTTGTATACATATATAAGTATATATATATATAGAATAAGAATTCGTTCGTTCGTCTTTTCCTCCGTGTATCAATCCTGTGTGTCTCTCGTTCGCTCTCTCTCTCTCTCGTTCTCGCCTTCGACTGAACGACGTAACCTAACGTAACGTAACGGCGCGTGTATCACGTTGTGGGAGCCTCGTCACCGGCCGACTGACTAAAGCGTCCGAGAGCGTCGTCGCGCGACTGAAGCACTGAAAACGGAGGCAAGGGGCGCCGCGCTCTCTCTTTCGTTCCTTCTTTCTCTCTTCGCCTCGCGTTCTATCCGTCTTTCTCTCTCTGTCACTCTCTCTCTCTCTTTCTCCCTCACTCGCTGTCTCTCCCTCACCGCGATCTTTCCTTTCGAAGGCAGGCGCGTGCAACTACCCTCTCGCTCCTGTTACCTCTGCGACTGACTGCGACGTACTGCGACTGCGGGTGCTACAGCCGGCGCGCCGCCATGTGCCGGACGCCGGCTATGCGCCGCACCGATTGGCCGGCCCGGTCACGTGGCCACGTACCACCCCTCCCCACCACTCCACGACCAACCGGCGTACAAAGTGCGAGCGCACCTACCGGCCGAGAGCGCCGCGCTTCGTTCGCCTCCGGATACGGGCGCGTGCACTCGTCTCTACCGGCTTGCAACCCCCTCCGTATTACCGCTCGACGCGCTCGTGCTCGTTCTCGTTCTCGTTCTCGTTCTCGTTCTCGTGCCTCGAGCCTTCGCGAAGTTTCCCTATGGATCCGCGGCTGGAACGCCGGCTGCACCACCGATTTTCCACGGCGGTGATTGCGAGCCCGGGACACCCAGCCGGGGATCGTAGCTCCATCTAGCCGCGGCCGAGCGAGACGTCTGAACCGAAGGGTTGCTCTTTCATTTCTGTCGGCGTCACTTTGTTTAATCGAATTATTCGCTAACCGTTGTTCAAGCTTTTTAATTAGAATGTTATTGTTCGTTTCTTCCCGCAAAAACAAACGGACAGGTTTTTTCGTAAAAAGAAAAATAGAGAAAAGAGAGACGAATATTCTTCCCGTTTCCCCGCTTGGTCGGTATCGTGTGTTTCTTTTCGAAACGTACGCACGTACATGCGCGCGCTTGTAAAATTTACATTTCAATAGCAACTTTGATAAGTACGATCGAACGTGTGTGTGTGTGTGTGTGCGTGGCTCGGCTCGGCTCGGCTCGGCTCGACGGTTCGATTTATCCCCGGCCGCTCGTTCCAGCCGACTCCCAGCGACGATACCGCGTTTCCCATGAACGCTCGCCGGCAAGCATCGCATCGGTGTCGTTCACTGCGAACCACGCGATACAACACCCTTTTCTCGCCGCGGACCCGTCAACGACCTCCGCCGATGCATATAGGGTGCCTAGCAAACGTGCTCCGCCAGGTACTTTTTCGAGGTGCGTGCAGTCATTGCAGCAACATCCGCGGCGCAAGGGAAATGCAACAGGAAGGAAATTTACGACTCCCGAGAAATAATAGCAAGGCATCGTTCGAGTCGTAAACCGTAGTTGGATCGTTTGAGACTCTATCACGCCGTAAATTAGACACGACGTCAAGAGTATTTCAAAGGAAATCTCGACCGGTCCGCGGTATTGATACGAAAGTAGGATCCTTCGCCAAGGACTGCGCTGGATTTTGTTACGATTTAATTATACCCCGTGTCCCGCGATAAGCATTTACGATCCCGGCCGCCCCTCTTTCCCCATACATTTTTGCCCGTTTTTTGGTTCGATCATTAGTAGAGATTAGCCCACTTTGAAAATTGCTTGCAACCTTGTGCCGCGGTTGTTAACCCGTCGTTGTTCGAACGGCCGGCGATACGAAATTTTCAAAGTCGGACTTTTATTCGGACCCGGTGCACGATGGATATATCCTCGGCAAACTAGTTTCTGCGGGGATCGTGTCTCTCTCCGAGCCCATCTCGTCCGAACACGTTGCGCCAATGTAATCGCTGTAAAATGATTATCCTTCTGTAATCGAGGCATCGAGAATATCCCTCGCTCCGAATCGGTCAAGCTAGAGGTTCGATTCCTCCGATCTATCGTCCTTGAACTCCGTCGGCGATGATTCCACGGAGCGAGTCCCGCGGCCGTGTTGCGTGCGAATCGTCGCCGATCGCGGATCGACGACGGCCGATGTTGCAATTTCTCGAACGCCCGGCAATTAACATAAGCGTAAATTCTGGGAAAAAAAGGGCGGATCGTTAATTCTTGCAGAAAAACCCATTAAAATTCCATTCTCATCGGGGATTGCAAAAACCCGTGGGTCGTTACATGTGCGTTGAAGAGCACGCCTTAATAAAAGGACATCCTCCCCTCTTGTTCGCGCGGGGTTCTCTCTTTAAAGGAGCGCCCCGATAAATTTTTAAAAGGAACCAGTTCGGGGCACGTATAAAGCCGACGCGCGACGCAAGAAACGCCTGTGTCTTCCTCCTTTCTTTCTAATTGTCGAAGGTGGCCCGATACGACAGGGGAGCGAGAAATAATTACTTTAGCCGATACCTGTAACCTCTTAATAATCGGCGAAATCACGGTTCCGCAAAAACCGCACCTGCGCCGTTCGCCGGAGCTTCGTCGAGTGTGAAAAGGGGAATTCGGGTCTAAACCGATCTAAATGCACCGCGGACCTTGAACCGAGGTGCAACCGTGATCCATTGTTCTCTGCCGACGACCCTTCTCGTCCTCTCCCGAAGAACCGACCGATTGCTCGATTTTTAGCCGGGCCCACACGATCGAGACGGCGTCCTCCATTCTCGAGGACAGCCCGAAACGCGCTTCGGAATAATTCCGGAATAATCACAAAAACTTTTTACTACCCGCGCCCCTACCCGGTATCTCGAATACGAAATATAAAATATTAACGTTTATGGACGATCACCGGGCCAAAATTTGAACGCTTTTAACGTCGCGTCGCTGTAAAATTTTTATCAATCGCCCGGATTATCAGCGTCGCGGGAACGAAAGGAACGAGGTAAAAAGAAAGAAAAATAAAATAAGAGAAGGAAGAGGCACGCCGTATTATGCGACTCACTTACGCCTTACACCTGTCGGTCGGACGATAAATCACGATAATATTCCTTCACCTCAATTATGTCTTATAAAAGTCTTGCGGTCCCGACTGTATAAAAATCCGTCGACCGTTTTCGTTTACCTGTTCAAAATTATGTTAAGAGGCGCGTAATAAATTATCCAGGTACAAAAATCTGTGAAACGGCACCGTGAAAAATTCTGGAAACCTGCTCGCCGGTCGTCGCGGCCACTCATTCGACAAATTACCTTCTGCCGACGAGGAAAGAACAAAGCTGTATCCCCGGCGGTGCGTCCGAAAACTTTCTCGCGAACGGAATAACTACGTGAGCTCGTTCGGCAAAGGCGACTAATTTTGTTTCTCATCGTTCGCCGAAAGCAACGACCCGTGCACGCTCTCTCAAGGCTGTCTCGGGACGCCACCTTTTGCCACGAGCACCTGCCGACTTCTGGCGAGCTCGTGCTCTCTCAACCCGCTCGTAAATACCTCGGAGTTATCGTGTACATGCTTTCCGAAACTACATTCGCGTTTGTCTCTTTTTATCGATGCGACGATGAGCGCCCCGATTCGGGCCCCGAGACCGTGCCCAATTTACGGCCGAGCCCGTAAACGTGGCAGCGCGTGCACCCCGTCGCAGGGTTGGTTCCACCCTCCTCCCCGCTCGCAACATATGCGCACCGTCGCTCGTACCGCTTGACACCCGAGTGTGAAAATAACGTGTGCGCGCACGTGCGTGTCAGCCGCTTATTCATCGATATAATTGCCTCGGTAATCACCGTGTAATCAGCTGATAATCGATGACAGCTATAATTCTGATATAATTGCGGCGAAACTGTCGAACGTTGCCCAAGCTAGTTTCGGAACTACCCCGAACGTATACGAATCTCTGTGCCGCTTTTCGAGCAAGAATGAACGATCGTTGCGCATTTCGCTGGAGCTACCGGATGTCCCTTAAATAAACCTTGAATAAAATGCGCTTAAACTTTTCAATAGTTCAGTATATAAAAGACTCGAAATATCGACGAAGTAACCGACCTAACATTTCTAGGCAAACCTTAAAATGGAGATAATGGAATTATATATAATAATGGAATTTTCCTTGGATCTTCGCAGCCTTAGACAATTTAAGAACTTCGTTACGAAGAATAAATTTTTTGCAAAAATCAGCATTCTGAGCTTCTTTTTTTAGCATCTAATTGACAGATATACAATGTTGTCTATGATTATGCTTTTGTGACAAAAATAGGTATTTGAAATCTAAAGCAATGCAAATTTTGACAGAATTTATCTATGACCAAGACATCTGCTATTTTCAACTCACTGAAATTATCAAAGAGAAGAAGAAACATAAATTTCGTTCGTGTTCGTCGCAATCGAAGAAGACAATTTTTATTTTGCATACAGATCCGCGATCTAACGATCAATTAACACGCTTTCGTGTACCAACTAAATCTTGTCGATCTGTAGAGACAAATTATTTCTTTTTAGCGTGGTTTAGACAATTTTCTACTAGATTCGTATCATCGTGACATATTCGAATTAATCTATTTCTACGAGGATTTATCGACCGCTGAACGGTTACAAAAATAATCGCAAGACGTCCACGAATCGTCAAAGATCCGTTGCTACGAGAATCTAAAACTATCCGATAGTTGTCCCGGAAAAATTGATCTAACGATTAATTGACACGCTTTTCTATACCAAATATATCTTGTCGATCTATAGAGACAAATTATTTCTTTTTAGCGTGGTTTAGTCAATTTTCTATACAGATTCATGAATTCTTTTCGTCTAGATTCGCATCATCGAGATACATTCGAATTAATATATTTCTACGAGGATTTATCGACCGCTGAACGGTTACAAAAATAATCGCAAGACGTCCACGAATCGTCAAAGATCCGTTGCTACGAGAATCTAAGACTATCCGATAGTTGTCCCGGAAAAATGGCATGTATATCGGTGCAAAAGTTCTGCCGACGATTCGGTAGACCGAGGTGGACGAATTCGAAAGTTCCTGGTAAACGACGCGGACCGCTTGTATGCAAATAATCAGTAGGCCCGCGCGGTTTAAGGTGGCAGGTGTGCCTACAATGTAAAGGTTTAATCAGGCCAGGCGTAAGATTGGCTGGGTTTTTCGCGGAATCCAATTACGAATATCAGAAAAAAGCAGAACGAATTCTGGCCGGGGCGATGCCACGCGGAGCTTTCCAATCGTTCACCGGACCGTTCGCCGGGCTACTTCGAATTTCTCGTTACGCCGCGGCTACCATTTTCGCAGATTCACCGTGATCTTGTTACGAAAAAAGGCCCAGGCCTCGAGACAAGATATTGCAACACGATACCGTTCGGACGGTCCCGTGACGTACCGCGCCGCGCCGAGACCTGCGAGGCGATCGACGCGACGCGAC